GCAGGGCAGCATTTCGGCTGATGCTGTCGCAAGCACAGTTGGCTCCTGAGCCAAATCACCGTCGGGGAGCCCTCTCCATTGGCTGCAGCAAGCGCCAGGCAGCTTAACCAGGTGGCCAAACTTGGCACCTGAACTTAGATTTGGGATAGGGGCACTCCCAACTGAGCAAAGCTCGGAGCTCAAAGTTGCCAAGAAATTGTCCTCCTGGCAGCACTGCTGGCATGTGGCGGGGGGGGTGTGGGGGGGGGAAGTTGCTTTTAAGTGAAGGCACTAGACTTCCAAGGAAAAATAAAGCCATTTGTCCCATCGGTGACCTGGAAACAGTGAGGCAGGCGGAGATGCTCCTTGCATCCCCCGGTGGGTGCCGGGTCTTGAGCCCCAGGAGCGGGATATCCTCCGCGTGCTCGGTGCTGCAATCCCGTGGGCTTTTGGCCAGCAAACTGAGAGGCCACCCTGGAGCAACCTGCCTCTTCCCTGGGCACGCACGTCCTTGAAATGCTCATGCCACCCTTTGGGGTCGCCAGCCCACCTCACCAGCTGCCTGTTGTCCCATTGCAGATGCAGTAGCGAGTGTGGCTGAGCCGAATGGTGCCGTGAACTCCTGGGTGTATTGTGCATGTGCGCGTACCTACAGCTGCCTTCAGAGCCTCAGTGCATGGCTGATTCACAGCCGTAAGAGAAAGTTTTATGCATTTGCTGTTGCTTTATCGTCTCGGCAGACTTAACGTCAACTTAATGTGCCTGCTGAGGGATTCGCTGGCCCACAGCAATGCACCCTCCACTGCTCTAATGCCTCATTGCGGTTGATAGCTTGAGGGAAATGATAAAATGCAGGGCTGGTGTCCCTAGGAGAGCAGACATGGCATGGAGGAAGGCTTTCTCTTCTTGATTTTGGTAAAGAAGTGCCAATTTGAGTTAACAATGAGCCCTCTGGTGGCAATGACCCAATGTCATTTCTTAGGGTAGTGACCTCACCAGACAGCAGCACAGATGAGTGAAAAAGTCACAACTTCTTTGGCAGGAACCAAACCCAGCAAAAACCACGCCGGACTTGGAAGCAGCCTGCCCGTGGCTGGGTAGCCCTGAATGCCTCTGCACAGATTGTCACCAGCACTGCGCTTGGCACCAGGAGGGCTTGAGCTGGGTTCAAGAAGATACTCTTGATGCATCTTGGCATTACCAGAAACGGTGCAGCCACATTCGGGCTGGCTTGGTAGGAGGAGGCAAGAGTCCAGCATTTTGTCAGAAGGCCAATCCAAGGCTTTTCCTCTCAAATCCCTCTCTCTGGGAAACCTCCTTTCCCTGCTGGGCCAAAACCCACAGCCCTAGGTAGAGCTGGCTGAGTGCCTGACCGTGGGTGACAGGCAGACTTGGACATCCTAGGAAGAGCCCGGGAAAGAGAAGCTGGGTTAGGGGAGATCCAGAACTGAGTTACACTTTGGCTAGGACTGGCCCAAAGCTCCTGCAGCCCCATAAATATGATTTTTGCCATTGCTAGCAAATGGGCACAGGTTTTGCGCTGACCTGACCATCTCAGAACTGCTCTGCTGGCTGTGGCCAGAGCTGGTTGTGGCTGTGATCACCAGGGTCTGGTGGCCAAGGGCCTCCTACCCGCCTGGCCTGAGCTCAGCACCACGAGCAGCTGCAGGGCCACGGGTTGCCCCCAGCCAGTCCCTGCCTGGCAAACAACAGCCCTTGTGTGACCCGGGCTGGGTGCTGGGCAACTCTCCCGCTGGAGCTGGGGTGAGGCAGAAGGGAGCCGGCGGTGGGGAGTGGAGGGGTAAAAACAGCTGCAGGTGGACCCATGACTGGGGAGGAGGAAACTGCACTGTGGACATCACACTCCTCCCAGTGAAGACCTCCGGGTGATGATGTTTCATCATTCCCTTCCCCTGGATTCTGCTAAGGGAGATCGAAGCTGTCAGCTCTGGGATGCTGGCAAGGTGAGCACCACAGTAGAGGAAGGGGGTAGACACTGGGAAAGTGGGAACAGTTCTAATTGTATCTTTAAGGAAGCTTTTCTGTGCTAATTTAATGATTTGGACTGTTAGGCTGTTAAAGCACTAACTGGGCTAGGAATAAGTTCTTAGCTCCACATATATGGTGTCTTCCCTTTGGCCCATAGCAAGATTTTTGACTTGGCTTACTATTTAAGCCCTTTTACAATCATTGTAGAGAAATGCGCCCCGGTGGTGTGCAGTTCATCTCATTCTAAGCGAGATGTCTAAAATGCGGCAGACAGATCTCACTCTAGAAGTGCCTATTTCTCTCCCCTGAATATTTAAAGAGCATGGAGAGAGCTCACTCAGAAGGTGATGTTTGCACTGTAGGTAGGTGAGGTTAGGTGAGATAAATCCCTAGTGAGGGGAACGAATCTTCACTCTGAGCAGAGGTATGAAGAGCTCCCTGGGGAACCCTTCCTGCGTCGTTAAATCCAGCACGTCGGACGGCAGATAGTCTGTGTAGCTCACTGTTCTCTTGACCTTAAATATCATAGAAAATGTCTAAGTCCATTGTAGGAGCCATTTCTGGCATCATGAATATGGCCACCCACGTTTTAACAAGCAGAAACAAGTTGGAGAGAGATGTGGAGACTGAATTTCTTGGAGTGAAGAATTAAATCCAGCCATGGCCTCAGCTGGTTGTTACTGTGATAACCAACGTCGGGGGTCCTGCCCGCCTGGCCTGAGCTCGGTGCCAGGAGCACCCGCAGGGCCACGGGCTGCCCCTGTGCTGTCCCTGCCTGGCAAACAACAGCCCTTGTGTGACCCGCGCTGGGCACTGGGCAACTCTCCCGCTGGAGCTGAGGGATCGGTAGAAGGGAGCCGGCGGTGGGGAGAGGAGGGGTAAAAACAGCTGCAAGTGGACCCATGACTGGGGAGGAGGAAAGCCCACTGCGAATATCACACTCTTCCCAGTGAAGACCTCCAGGTGGTGACAATTTGCTATAAACTGCTCCCATCCCGCTCACAGAAGGCTGAACCTGTTGACACCGGGACACAGATGGACATTAGTAGGGTGAGCATCACACCAGAGGGAAGGGAGATAAGAGTTTTTCTTATAACAGTCACTGTTATTCATAAGCTTTTTCTCTATTAATTGGAAGAGATGTCCCAAATTAGATCAAAGTGGGCGAACCTTTGTGGAAGTGCTTCCCCAGCCCTTTATATGACTGCGCTGCTTGCTTTGCGAAACTGTGGGAGCTCTATGACTTGCCTTTGATAAGGTCTCACCTAAACAGAGGTTTTTATATCAGGGTGACAAAGGAGCCAGTGGGGCTCCATTAGGCCTCTGTTGTATTGTGGACGGTGATTGTTTTTCAGTGCAATTTATGAATGAAGGTTTCTCCTGCTAGTTGCAAATGCTTTGGTCTCCTGGACGACCTCTGCTGTCCTGGGCTGGGGTTCATGGCCACCAGTGTGAATATTTATGATATGGTTACTTAATAGCGCCTGCTCATCTCTCTCAGCTGCTGAGGGAGTGCTGGGTGTCTTGCTTGGAGAGAAGCAGAGGGATTTAACTCACAAATGAAGGTGCTGGAGGTTATACGTCTCTGTGTGAGTTAGATTTGACTCTGGCCCATGGGCCCTTAGTACCGTCTGAGGTGTCCTAAAGCATTGGAGATGTCACATAGACCTGGCAGGTATGACATCGCCCTGTGGCCAGGCGGGCTACCCTACAACATCCCGAATGGTACAAACACCAATGTGAATCCAAGCCCTCGTGCTGTATTGATGGGGGGTCCCACCTCCCTGCTATGATGGTGGCACCCAATGCGGGATGGATGTCGTCAACATCCACACAGCCAGGCACGCTGCTGCCTTATCGCCCAGGGTGTTTGTCTGCTGCCAGGCAGAAAAATGCCTGTTGCGCAATGTTGTGGCCTCACCTGGAAATGCAGAGACCTTTTTTTTGAATGAGGCTGAAACAACTATTTTGCTCAGTTGGGAACATTCTGTTTCTTTTCCAGGAGAAGATTTTTCTTGCTATGATATGCCATCTGAATGTTTTTCTTGCTGAAGTACATTTTGATACTGAACATCATTTTGAGAGCAGAGGCTACGAATGTCATTCAGAAAATGGCACTTGTTTCATTTCCAACATTTGCAAAATAGGTCATTTGCAAAATTCCATCTTTTTTAAGTGCAAAAAGATTTTGCTTGTCATGGGGAAGATGCCAAAAAGTTCTGCTGACCCCCTCCTCAGAGCCTCGAACATTATGGCCTAGCAGTATCCTACTTCCATCTATGCTACCAACATCAGAGAGATGGAGGATAGCAGCCTGCAAATATAAGCTGGAGGCAATCCCGTGGATACCAAGGCAGGACCAGCAGTAGTGTCTCCCAGCAATCCGTCATCCTACACAGCTGCCGCTGCCTCAGGCTGGCCCTGCCTTAACCCTTGTTAATTGGGGGTTGGGATGCTTTAATAGCCAATGGTTTGGCCACCAGCCCATCAGGGTTTGGCCATCCTACTCACAGATCCCCAGTAGGAGATGACATGGGTTCATCTGGTTTGGCTGGTGGATGCATTAAGGACATGACCCCACAGAAGGGTTAATTTCAAGGAGAGGAACATGTCTTGGCCTTCTTGGGTCCTGCCACCTCTTGGTTTTATGCCACTGAAGTGACAGTGAAGCCTCCTGGGCCATTGAGAGTGGGCAGCGACACTCCTTGACCAGGAAAATCAGAAGTCAATCCTGCCAGGTTGCTTGTGCAACCAAGCAACCTGCTGATAATTTCCTAGCAGCCTCCCCCCGGTCCAACCCCACCACAGCCCTCCATTTAACCATTAAATTCCCATCACAGTTGTTTGGAGGAAGAAAGAAAAATCCCAGTGCAATCCTTGAAGGCATAATGCCGTGCAAATTCTTTAATGAACACATATCTTGTCTATGCAGGATAGAAGAACAACCATGTATAGAAGTCCTGGGGGCATTTGAAGGGGAGTTGTTATGAAGGATGCTCTGTATTGAATCAGTCCTACTTTAAAGTCACTGTCAGAACACGTGGAAACGCTGCTGCTGATGGTTTAATCTCCCATTTACATATTCTCATCAGAGTGGGGAGGACCTAGCAGCATTCGGCACAAAGCTACAAAGCGTGACAAGCACATCTCACAGCTGGGTATGGCGTGAAAACCCTCCAGATCTGGCCTCTAATTGCAGGGTTGCGAGGAAAATGAGCACCAAACAAGCTACAAGGGACTCGCCTGAGGGTATCGGACTGGTCAGTGGCAGGGACTGATAAGAGCTTGGGGATTCACACACACAAGGAATTCACGCACGGGGCAGCCCCTGTGATGACACGGGTTACCAACCTGCATCTCACTTGAACGTTGTCATTTTTAGCCATTGAACACCTCATTTCCTACCGGATCGCAACATGATGGCAATTTCCTTGCTTGTTGGGAAGATAGGGCCTTTCACCTCTGCTGTTCCTTTGTCAAAGTAATGAATTACAAGAGTTTCTGCAGCCCTTGCCCATGCTGGATTTCCATACCTCTCTGGGCAACAGCTCTGGGCACGTTAAAGATCTGGCGGTGACATTTTGCAGGGAGAAACTGTGCCTTGCCGTGGTCCAGTTTTGAACCCCTGTTTTTACCTATAGTGTGTTGGGACGTTTCCTCTTTGCCTCCCTGGTGAATGGGAAGCTGAAGGAGAAGAGGGAACTTGCTAAAGGCCCCGGGGCATTCGTGGCAGAGCGGAAAGGTTGTCTGCCACGGAATATCCACCTGCCTGCCCTGTCCGACACGGGGCAATGGAAATTCCCAACCTATTTCTCTCTGCCTTTCTCAAAGGGTTACTGGTCCCACGTGAGCGGATAACTAGAATTATACAAGGCAGCATTAACACACTTTTATTTTACAAAAATAAACTCAGGGGTAGGTGTTGTCTGGTTTTACACAATAGTTTTACGGGGTAAGTAGTGTGGTCACGAATCCCTGAAAATTTCAGCTTTCCCGAGCAGTCAGATTCTTCCCTCTTATCATACCAGTTTGTTTCCTCTTCGTAATTACAGTCATCACTCACAGAACCAACATCTGTCACCTCTTTGCCTTCAATGGTTTGTCTTGCTTGTCCAATCTCTTAGATGTCCTGGAGGTGTTTCTTGCAGCTCCATCCTCCTTGATCTAAACCCTGCAATTGCAGCCGATCACCCTCCTCTGACTGGTTCTCAAAAGCAAGGAAAGAGAGAAAACAAAGGCAACCTTGGAGACTGGCTACAACTTTGGCACTGTCCTGAGCCTCACGCACCCGCAGTGGGTTGGGAGGTCCCTGCCGCAGCGGGATTGTGTGCCCCAGGTCATCTCACAACACTTCAGACATCCATAGGGCGGGTGTCTCAACCTGGACTAGCTCGGAGCACCTGCTGTGGCCAGCAAGGAGAAATGGGCACTTCTAGGGCAGAGTGCAGCTGAGCTGGTTTTGGATAACTCCCGCTCAGCAGTGCCTGTTTCTCCCCACAAAGGGAGAGCAGATAAACAGCTGGAGATATGCCAGATGTAGGCACTTATCTTACCAGGTTAAATTGGCCAGCTTGTTTACATTGCCTTCCCTTATCATCAACAAACAAGGACAGGCTTCCCCAATAAGTGACGCAAACCCCTTGCAGAGGGAATGAGAGGAAGAGAATGAGGAGCCAGCCAGGGGTGGCTGCACTGGTGCAAACAAACCCTCATTCCCAGCCAGTCAAGGACCAAAACACCCTTTGCTCCCCAAAGAGCACTTCTGCTCTCCAGGATGGCACTGTGCGCCCTAAACGGGGCTAAGAGCAAGGGAATATTTGCATGACCTTCAACCTTGCAGAATAAGAACCTGGGCTGTGCAAAGTCCACGGTTTATCAGAAAGGTCTGAGCAGAGCATACCATCCTGTGCAATAGTATTGATTTTATGTATTTTAGGAGTGAGGTTAGACACCAACCAGCCAAATACGAGCCACCTGAAAATCCTGAAAGGGACCCAAACTTAGCTCCATATCACAATCTTTAATTTTCTTCTCTTTCTTAAATGCCTTCAAAGACAGAGCAGATGAACCCCACTCGGATTTTTAAAATTTATTCTGGAGAACTAATGCGTTTCTCCTGTGGCCCAGAGGGTTTTCTCCACGCAGAGAAAAGACTGACAGAGGAACATCTTTCTAGGAAAGCTTGCATCAGTGGCAGCTAACACACTGCTCAGCAGCAGTGATGCTTGCATTACTGTCAGGGCCGGCAGTAGCAGGAACTGATTTCCCCTTGCTGCAAGTGGCCAAGCATCCGAAGAGGAAGATGAGCTGTGCAGACTGATACAGTGAACGAGAGCCCGGATGTGCTCCCAGGAATGAGTTTTGTCCAGTGACCCCTTGGATGAGGCATGAGTCTAGATGCAGGGAGTGCTGTGGACAGCTGACTAGCTGGTCTGGATCAGTGCCGCTCTGCCAGCTTTGGACTCTGCCCTGAGTCCCTGGTGGCTGCAGAGACCAGAGAGGCACTTGGACAGAGCAGTCCGGGGTTCAGAGGGCACCAGCCCCCAAATCCATGCAAACCTCAGCCCTCCAAAGCGTTTCTGTGTAAGGTCACGCTGGGAGCCCCAGGGCCAGCCACAATTTCTCTGGAGTCCTGGACCCTAACTGAAAACTTCCTCATCTACTGGCCTCACCTCGGACAGGACAAGACTTTAAGGGTGCCGTGTGCCCACCACCAAGCATCGCATATTCACCTCCCTCCTCTCCCAAGCCCTATCAAGGGCTTGCCCATTCCCAGCACAGTACATCGTCCTTTGCCTCCCTGCCAGCTGTAGCTGGTGGCCTGGTTTGGGATCTACCTCCTGGGTGCATATGGCATGAGGTGACAGAGACCAAGGCATGCAAACCAGCAGGGCCCAGCACTTGCAGCTCTGGTCTCACCTGGACCCTCCTCATCTGTTGCTCCCACAGGTCCACCTGTATCCCGTCACCAGATGTGGTCCAAAGGAGATGTTCAGGAGCTCCCAGAGGGAGGTGAGAGGGGCCAGTGTATGAGGCGTGCTGGGTGCAAGATAACGAGACCTTACAAACTACAGGCACCCCTGCAATGAGTGGGGGCACGATCTCCCTTGGAGAAATGGACAGGGGAATCCACAGAAGGTTAGAGGATTGGGGAAGCAGCCGTAACAGCCGTGCAGCCTATCCTGGAGAGGTCTCCGGGCAAATCAGCCCGAAGCACCGTTGTTTGCCCTGGCATGGTGCCGACGTTCACTGCACTCCCCTTGCTGGCTGTTTACCTTGAGCAAGGCAGACCTTTCTTACATCTTTTCTCGTGCCTCCTTATGGTCCTTTCTGCTTCCAGTCAAGGATGCATTACTGTCTTGGAAATCCCCCTTTTCTCCAAGGGCTGGGGAATAGCTTCTCTTCCCTCTTCCTTTTGCATCCGGCCTTTCTATCTTTCTCTCCCTGCTCCTCCAAATCAGTTGCAGCCTTGTATTGTCCTGCCTTATGAGTCTAAGGTACCCTTCTCCTGCTAGGGACCAGAGTCTCTCTGAGCCCTCCCCGACTAGTGCTGGTGGGACATCATAAGGAAATGGAGGTGGACAAATCATGGATTTTTTTTGTTTTTTTTTTGCTTCCACTTCTTGTCTTCCTCACTATGGTGGGCAGGGGATACGCAGCCCCATGTGTGTGACACCTCCCTGCTCCCCAGGCTGCCCTGTAAGCCGAGGAGTGTGGGTACCTCTGTATGGAGGAATATGGAAAGGCTGGAGGAAGAGGAAGGTTGGTCCCGTACCAAAGAGAGGGCTCCCTTACCTGCTGCCATTTTACACCGCTGCTCGCATTTCCATTTGGTTTCGAACCGGTTGTTGTTCCCTCGGCACCCCCCGAACACGAATGGCCGGCAGGCGTCTGCCTCTGGGTGGTAATACCAGAGCAGTGCATACCGCCGGCAGGAGCCCTCATCCATTGGCTGGAGGCAGGTGGCTGCAAGGACACAGATCCCCCCACCACTCGTGTGCTGCACCTGGAGGGCAAGGGCCGCACTCTGCCACCCCAGGTTTCTCCCGGCCCCCTGGCCAGTAGGCTCCATACGTCAGGCCACTGGAGCTCCCAGTTACCCACATTCAGCTCTGTGCCCTGATGCAATAGGACTGGCAGAATGAAGGTGGCAGCATCCAGCCTGGCAGGAGCCACGGGTGGGACAAGTTAGAGGCTGTTCATGGCTCCACACCACCGAGTGCTCCTGGGGCACCCTTCACTGTGGTCTCAGACCTTTGAAGGGTCTGTTTAACCCTCTGGCTCCTGGAGGGTCTTTGCAGCATTTATTGCACACAGGAGCATTCGACAGGGGCACTATTGCTGTGCGTTTTGCCACTGGCCAAGACAGAATCAGGACATTCTCCACCAGCTCAGTCCCAGCTGAGTCCCTCCCGGCAAACGCAGCTATGTTAAGCTGAGTACAAAACTGAGATCTGAGACTCTACTTGTTGGCACATGTGACTCTTTCAGTGCTGTGTCCCCTCAATCTCAATGCAAAAAAGCACTTCCTACCTGGGAAGTGACTTCCCTAAATGTCATTTAATTCAGTGCATTTCACCTGGTAATTGACTGTGGGCTTCGTGGCGCTTGTGCTGAGAGGGATCCATTATCTGCTTATCACTGGAAGCTGCTGAGGAAGCAAATGAAAATCACAAGTAATGAGGGCACGCAAATAAATTAGCCACCATTTAAATATTGATTGCTGGAGCCTTACATGGCTTTCCGCGGCCTAACAAGTTCTTAATAAATGTCACAGAGCAATTGGTGAGGGGGGGAAATCAGCAGCAATAAAATTCTTAATGGTGTTAAACAACTTAGTCAAAGAAGGTTGGATGTTAGTCAGAGAAAAGGGAAGTATTTGTGGTTGTTTGCTGGAGATAAATGTCAGGCTGGAGTTTTGCAAATTTGTGAGGTTTGAAAAGCCAGAAGCGATTGTAATCTGGTAGTAATAACCCTCCGATTGCAGAATCCTGTTAACATTTAGAACATCTATCCACACTCATCACTTAGCGGAGCGATTTATGAGCCCTTCTGCCTCCGATCCAGCTTTAATGGGCTTCTCAGCTGGCGACGGCTGCCGCTGTGATTCAATAACATGTGGTACACTCCATCGATCTGAAATCGCCCAGATCCCCAATGCTACCTTAATATAAAGTGAATTTAAACCCAGACGGATGATATCTTCGAAGTACAACAAAGACATTAGCTGACAGCAGGCAGCTCCTTGGGGAGGAGGAAGGTGGCGATGTTTGGGGTCAGATTCCAGGCTTAGATGGATTTGGGGTTGGAATTTGGCCCTTAGAAGCTGACAGGGGAAAAAGATGGAGGTCATTAGCAACGGATCTGACTTTAAACTCTTCCCAAAGCTCAGGAAAAGGGCCATCACGGAAAATAAAGGTCAACGTATTATAAACCGTAGGTCAACAGCTTGTATAAGCTGCCATCCATTCCGGGGTGGGAAAGTACACAACACTGGGGCATGTCACTTGGCAAGAAAGTGCAAGGTGATTTCTTTCTAAAGTAGCTTCTAGAGTAGCAAGACTGACGGGCCAGCCTGCATGCTGATTGGCACCAGCGGGCTCATTAGCCAGCTTTTGTGCTGGTTGGCCACTTGGCTGCTGCCCCTCGCCTGCATGGCAGCCTGCAGAAAGCCTTGCCTCTCAGCTGCTGGTGGACCCCACCGCTCACAGAGCTGCTGAAGGAGCACAGCCCACTGTATTTTAGATGGCTCCCTTCCTCTGAGATGACTCTTGCCCTGGGAGTATCTATTTCTCTGAGCTGAAGCACTGACACCATCCTCCAGCCCATGCCAACGGCAGTCCCATCCACCCTACCCAACCCTCTTCCTCCCGGTGATGAAATCTGAGCGTAGCCATGTTGATTTCCACTGTGCCTCTCCCAGCTTGCTGTTCCAAGGCAGTTGGAAGGGATTGTGGAGACTGCAGAAACCCCAAAGAAATTCTTACTTAGGCCCAGCTGCAATCTGCTAAGTAGCAAGAAATCAGTCTGAATTTTCCTCTTTTTGCCTTTGAGTCCTGCCCTTTCCTGCAGTGTGTTTGGAGTCTGAGTACTGAGTGTAGAGAGCCCTCCAAAAGCAAGCCCATAGTTTCCCATGCCTCCCTGCCAGCCCTTTTGCATCATAATTTCACTCTCTATCTCCCGTAAGTCGAGACAAGTAGAGAACCAGAGCTGAGCCCCGAGGAGGGGGTCAGAGGGTCCTGCTTTAGAGAGAAGCAGCGGACTGTGGGTGGCTGTGGTCTAGTCTAGAAGATGTGATGGACCTGGAGGAGGGCAGCTCATATGGGTCTGGTTGGGTGCAAGTGATCTCCAGGGAGCTGCTAAAATTGAGGGCAGAGCTACCCGGAAGCCCCTCAAGCCAGTAATGCCGAAGACTGCTGGAAACAGCAGGATGTCCTGGAGCCTCCTGGGGAATTACCACATACCGCAAAATCGTACTGGGAAATTTGATAATAATTAAAAGTGTGGCTGATCACGGGCAGTGCTTGGACCACGGTTTGGCCCTGACCAGTTTCCCTGTGTAGATGTAGCCGCTGTGTGGGGAGACTCAGCAAATCCATTGATGTCCCTACACATGTAGGCCTGTCTTATATGCATTTGCAGTGCAAGACCTTGGCCTTTCTAGTTCTCTCTCCCCCTCTCTCTGGTTGTTTTCCCATTAGCTGTAATCATGATCTTTACCCATTAAAGGGTTCATGAGGCTCTGGACAGAAATAGTCTATAATAGCTCAAGTGTTTAGTCTGAGAGATGTAAGTTCTGGCTGGTAGGAAGTCTTACTAGAAGTTACTGTGGAAGCAAAGGCCTTGGTACAAAGAGGAGGACAAAATCAACCTAAAAACAGCAGCCTCCTTCCAACCTTTCAATACGTGTCCATTCTCACATGCTGAGCTTGGGCCTCCCATGACTGGTGTTTGCCCCGAGTTCAGCCCTCCCAAGCCTGGGGACACACAAATCTGGCTTCTCCCTCATCCATCACCTCTTCTAGGGCCATCAGCTCACCTTGTCTCTGATCTGCTGACCAGCCCTTTCCTGCATGGGGGACTGCAGCGTGAGAGTCCTCCTCAGAAATCCTATTGCTGCCTCATTTCTACCCAGTTCCATGGAAAAGGATTTAACATGTGGTTCATGACAGGCTCTGGAAGAGGTGGGACACTAGCTGCCACAGTAGTAAAGGTAGAAAGCATGCAGCTGTGCAGCGGCATTTACCTGTAATAAATGAAGCTGGTTCAATGAAGGACTCCTCCGATGTTGCTGATGTTGTCATGTTCTGAGCTTTTTTAAGCAGTTCTTTCCAGCTTTTACCATCCCTCCTCGTGTGTTCCCGAGACTGAACATACTCCTGGAGTTTCCTGTTGATTTTCACTGCCCCTAGGCCTGTGGATTTAATCATTAGATCAGTGATGAAGTCTGGCATCAGAGCCAAGTTTGATGGCTAGGCCGCCATGCTTTGAAAAATAATTGTAGCAAAACAAAATTAGTGTCACTGCACAACATAGCATGGAAGGAAAGTCACAACATGACATTTTGTTGGCCCAAACCTACAGACCAGCAGGGTATGTGGTCAAGGTAGGAAATCTATTTCCAAACCATATATCTTCTAGAGATGAGCAAGCAATCAGAGACAGATCATACTGCCTGCTGTCTTCTCAAGGAAGGTGGGGACAGCACATTAAACTTACTCAAGAAAAAAGCTGATTTTGAGGAAGTGGTTCCCAACCCATGTGGTGGACCTCCTTGAGAACGCATGACATCTTCCAAGTAATCCTTGGGATAGAGCTATAATAAGAACTAAACTCTGCTGGACCTGTAGCATCTCCATGGTGTGGACTCCCTGAAGTGCTAAGCACCGCCAGTCTTCTCAGATAAAAGCTGTTTACAAAAAAGCCATGAGCTAAGGGAAAAGTAGCCCAGCAGAACTGGGCTATGCTAATTTACCTTTTTATCCAAACAGCCCTCAAGACATGAGTGCTGGAGAAAGGACCATGCTCTCTCGGCTGGACGACTGGCCAGTCTGACAACAGGCAGACTCCTTAAATAACGCTTGAGTCACGAGTGCAAAACGCTTCAGCGAGGCCCGTTGTTTGTAGGAGCACAAAGGCTGGTGTGTCAGGCAGAACTCATTTGCTCTGACTTATTTCTGTTACAGAAGCGAGTGGAGGCTTGAGCAAGGGTGGGATCCCACAGTATGGGACTCTGGAAAGACACCAGGTGAGACACGACCTGTACCCTCACAGATTGTCTTTCTAAACACAGAGGAGGGGCAAAGCAGAGCCTGGAAAGGACCAGTTCTACTGGCTCCTTACATCCAGGGCAAGGATTCTGCCAAAAATCTCAGCTCCATGCTTCTTGACCTGTTTCTCTGTTTATAAAGTCCTTGCTTTGTGAAATGCTCTGCTTTCGTATACTGCGAAACAATGCTATGTTAGAAAGGCTAAAAAAATAAAAGTAACAGTTATGAAGCAAAAATTAAAGCAAATCTGTTCCTGGAGAAAATGAGTTCACTGAATTTTAGAGGCAAATTGCTGCTGTGAAGTTCCTGCTTTGGCTATTCCTGTTTATAACATTAATATTAAATAGAGCTTCAAAGTGGGAAACGAGTAACAGTGCAGTGGCTGCACAGAAGAGGGTCTGTGTGCTATGCGAGTCAGTAAGGTCCTTGTGTCACAATGCCCAGTGACATCCTATGATGATGGATGGAACGTCACAGGTTAGAGATGCTGCCCTACTCCGTGCCGCTGGTGCCTAAGCTGGAGCGGGTATACCACCTTGACGCTGCACCTAAGGGGGAAGAGGGTCACTTGGAGAAGCTGATAATGAGGGTTAGAGAACGACAAGAAAAAAAGCCAGGTGATTTGGAAAGGCCCCAGAGTTGTGCTTGCTTGGTCTAGAGGAGAGAAGGCAGAGGGGTGGCAGGATCCAGGCTCAAAAACAAGCTGCGGAGAGGGACACTTGGTGTCAGTGGACTCACCCTCTGAACTCCATGGACACTATGGATTAGATCTCCATAATGGGAGCTTTAACGCCCAGTGATATATAGCCATCTACACTGTAGGCATTTCACTGGCAGTGTTGGACTGTGGAGCTTATAGGTCTCTACGGTTTGGGATGGTGGAGCAACAGGATCCCTTTCATGGGCAGGGAATGCTGTTCCTGTGGCCGTAGTTTTAATGGACAGGTATCACAAACGTTTGTGAGAAAAAGCGTTGGTCCTGTCTTTCAGTAGAAGGTGAAAGCAGGAGACTTCTTGGCCTTCCTCTCAGCCCAATTTTTTCAGATTCCCCTCAAGAAATAGCCTCCCTAGAGCCGGGGTCCAAAAGCAGTCGGTGATCCAGAGTGAGAGCCGATGTTGAATCACAGAAAAAGCACTTATTCTCAATAGCAGCTTTTCACTCAGGATTTCAGACCGTTTAGGGTAAGGAGAACAGCCTTTACTTGTCTGCACAAATTTGCATGCATTTCTGAGAGTTCATAGAAATTAGCAGCCTTAGCACTTCCCGTGAGCGTCCTTCCAAATTCACCTGCACAATCTGCAAACGTAAGACAGATAGGCTGTCATGACAGTGCCATGATGTGGGCAGTTACAAGGCAAAACCACAGCACAACAGCCTTGTGGAGAGGCAACGCATACAGCTGAGGCCAAAGTTTGTTTGTTACTTTTTTTTCCCTATGAAAACTGGATTTTCAACCAAATCATTACTTTTATAAGTAGCATTTTCCATTTTTTCCCTTAAAAGCATCCAGACGTCTCCTAGCATCTCTATCCAGAATCAGCTGTGTCTCCAGATTAATGGCTAAAGCATCTTGGAAAGTGGAAGACTGTGGATCTGAACCCTGTTTGGCCACAGACAGCTCCCCAGTCAGCAGGCCCCAGGGTGTGGGGCAGGAGTGGGGTAGCTCTCCACCTGCCCTCAGCAAGCTGGACCACCCCAGGGCAAGGAAAGCGAGACCTCAAAACCTGGACATTCTTGTGATGTTGGGCTTCTGGGGTAAAAACATCCCCAAATGTGTTTTCCTCTCAGTTTTGTTGTTGTTGTTGTTATGGCCCTGACCAGCAATTATTCACTGCCAGAGTGGAGAGGTCTTTGTGTCAACAAGTGCCAGAAAGCAGACAGGAATTAAAAGGTTGCTTGGTGTCCTTATTAGGAAAAATGCAGCTCCAAACTTGCCCTCCTGGCCCAGCACCATTTGCCAATCACAAAGAAATCGAGATGACCAGAGAGGAAAGCTTTGCTGACAAAACCACTGGCACAGAAATGGGAAGACAGAGAGTTTATAGGAGAAAGAATTAGAGTTTGAGGATGAGGTCAGGACTACAGCAGAGACCTCGTGGCCCAGAAGCCCGCACTTGTCTCGGAGTGTGGAGAGGCGACGTGTCTCCATTTGCTGCTAATGGGGTGATATTTGCTCTGCCAAGCGAGCTTGTGCTGGCACTCAAATTGCTCCAATTTAGTCCCTGGCAGGTGTCAGAGTGGTGCTCCGTGCAGCAGCCGGGGAGCTTGCCAGCCAACTTACCACATCTGCTACTCATTTCACTTCTGACCACCTCCTTCACCTCTTCCTCCTGTGCCGCGAGGGGGAAAGCAGCGGGTTAGCAGTGATTTTCCGCCCAGGCATCCCCATCTCCCTCTGTTCTGTGCCTCTTCCACACTCTGTTTACTCCATCTGAGGTGTGTCAGAAAGTGAAAAAAACCCCTCAGCTTTGATTTGGCCAAGATCAGAGACATACAGCTGATGTAACAACCTCAAGATTTGGGGCCCATCAGCCAGCCAGCAGAAACAATTCCCTTTGCAATTTCCTTGGCTCATGGCTGTCTTGCAACGCCTATGTGCTAGTGACTGCTTCTTTCTTGCCCCTGGGAGTCAGGATGTCCAGTGCAACGTGGAGATCATGGCATTCCTCAAGCCCAGGGTGACTCTCCAGTGAGTGTCCCACCCTCTTGGCACTATCCCTTGAGCCATGATCTCTTAAGTGTCCCTCAACTCTGAGAAGCGTCATCAACACCCCTGTATCTGCGCCAAGGGGCTCATCAAATCAGATGGCATGTCTCATCCATGGAGATGGGCTGCAGCGCTAGATGCTAGCTGCATCTCATTTTGTTCTTCTCCTCTGTCTCTTTACCAGCTAACAGTGTCCCCCCCACAGTGAGACATCTATCATTCACCCTTTTGCCAGCCAAGGGTCAGCTGAGCTTCTTCCATGTGCAATGGTTGGCGTCTTGCTACATTTCATGTAGTTGTACCCCCTGTAGGGATGAAAAATTCTACATGGGAAGAGCTATTCTGGGGCGATAGCCCCAGCTGATCTGCTTGTTTTTTGGGGTTGGATTCATCTGCCTAGACAAGTGTGTCTGCATACCCTGAGCTCCTTTTATAATTGGTGTTGTTTAGGGAGCAATTCACCTCATCCTAATGGAGATGCCAACTTTTACTCAGCTTCGATTAGAGCTCTGGTTGTAAAGGGAGCCAAGACAACTTGCTCAACTGGAGGCACTTACTGGTCTCACTTAAATGCCCACATAGGGACAGCTGTGTGTAAGCTGCCTAGCACTGCCTGCAATGCCAATGCTCATTCTGCCTGGCCTCCAGGCACAGGGAGGTTGAAAGTCCTGTGACCTCTCAGTCAAAGAGCACTAAACACCTTTGCGCAGGCAACAGGACAGAGACCCTAATGTTATGGGAGCTGCATCCACGTCTTCACCCTGACCAACGTGGATCAACCACTCCTTGAGGGTTTATAAACCCACAGCAGGCAAGGTGGAAGCTTCTTCAGTAACGCCAGGTCCCTAACCACTCTTGTTGGCTTTGTAAATAGGGCGTATTTCTCTCCTCTGCTCTTTCTTTCTCTTTGCTCACTCCTATGGCATTGGCACCGATCCTATCGGCCACTGGTGACTTAGAAAGTTGATGGGGAGGATGGGAGAGGAGAAATGTGCCCTGAACTCGGGGTCTTTGGGCCTGACCTCATACTGCTTCATACTGCTCCCTCCCCAGCTTGTGTCTGACATGTCCGGGTAATGGCCAACACTCTCATTTCCTGGATACTAACTGCATTAATTTGTTTCTCAGCGTTTCCCTCCTCCCTTACACCTCTTAGGCACAGTTTGTCCTATTTTCTCTATTCAGGCCTGTGTAATAGGATGTGATCTTGGCTAAAGTACTCACAGAAAGACCAGGATCTCCCTTTTCTCCCTTCTGGCCAGCTGGACCATTTTCACCCTGTTAAAAACACTTAAGTCATTACAAAAGTTCAGTAGATGGACCATTAAATGCTCCAAGAATAAGTGCACCTTAGAGAGAAAAAGATGCTCTAGAAAGGGAGATGGGGAAAATGATTACATGTTTTCCCATAAATTTAAGGCATATCTGTAAATAGCTCACTGAACAGGAAGGAATGGACTCATCCAAGTGCAGCGAGATAAGAACAAAAGTGTATACCAAAGGGCTGGTACAGGCTGTCAGATTTTGTGGACTAGTTTATGCTTTCCTGCTCAGTTTGAAGAGCTGTGTGACTACTGTAAATTGGATATGCAGAAAGCAGCAAGGCTCTGCCCTACCCATACTGTCAGGATGTTACCAGCTGCAGTTAGAGTCAGGTTTCTTTGCAATATGTAAGTGACCACAAAGATCCAGGGGGAAGAGTAGAGGAAAGGATCTGGCCTCCGGAGAGAAGCTCTGGAAACTCCAACCAGACCATGCGGAAGACTGCAACCAGGAGGCTACTGCAATATCAGCTCTGGGACCACACAACACAGGGAGACGCCGAGGTTTGCCAACAGGCCTTTCTGCATCTTAGAAGAAAATATCTTGAAAAATTTTCCACTCCGACCTGGTGAAAACTGAATTTGTTGATTAAGAGTACCTTAAAAAATAAAAGGAAAAGGAGCACAGGAAGAACATTCTAAATTAAAGCTGTGATGGCTATTTTTCTCAATCTGTGCCCAGTTACAGGGGGTAGAGCACTGGGAGAAATCACATTACCCTCCAACGACACACGGAGCTAATGCAGTGCCACCAACTCATGCAAAAAGCCTGTGAGTCAGTGTCAGTGAGACCTGCAGCATGTAGGGATTTATCCAAAACATGAGTTATTCTGCCTGCAGGGGAACCACCAAAGCCCAGGTTACTGCAGGCGTGGATAGCAAGATTAAGTTCTTGTTTGCACTCTCTGGGGTGCGTTAAAAGGCTGGGCATCCCCTCTTTGTACTGAAGACCAGACTCCCCATCTGTCATCTCACATGGCAAGCACAGCTGATGAGGACTCACAGTCTCGGATCAGAAATCTGTCAACCAGCTGTGCCAAGGCAGCAAAGAAGGTGTCAGGCTAGCTTGGATGAATGTGTGAGCTCCAGGCCTATCTGGAGGGAAATGCACATGTGAGTTTTACACTCAGCACAAGAAGCCAAAAGGAATCCTATCTCTCCAGGTAGTTAAGTTCTCTGCAGTCCTCAGAGATGATAAAGACCACCTCAGTGGGCAGTGCTGCTGTTTGATCTGCCTATACCTCACCTCAGAGAGAGGAACAACACCGTGTGCTAGTCCAACATAACATGTTTTCCTGAAGAAGTCATATGAAACAACTGATAGGCCAACAGGGACACAGCAGTTGTCCCAGTTGGAGAGATCCTCTGATAGAGGTGCAGGCAGTGCAGATGCCCGGCACTTGCGGTAAAATGCTCTCCGTGTTTTTGTTGCTGCAAAATTTGGAGAGCCAAGAAATCCAACCTAGAACAGCCAGGATTCATCCAGACCTAATGCAGAGCTCTGCACCACCGCAGGGGGAATGCATATGACTTAGCAGTCACTGGCCCCAAAAGCACATTCGGAGTGTACTGAAGTCACCAGCAAGCTGCCCAGTGAGTCCAGTTGCAGAAAGCTCGATCTCTTGCGCTGGCAGAAGAGCCGACTGCTGGCTGAGCAGCAGCCCGCACCAGACAGCTCCTGTTTCGCAGCGTTCATGGGCTGACCCAATACTCAGGGCAATCCTCTGAGGTGTGACCCCGCAGGCCAGCTATATCTGCTCTGGGACGCTCTGATCAGGCCAACACGACACGTTGGAACAGAACGATCTGAAGACAAGAGGAACGGCAGCCTGGCATCACACCGGGATGTGAGGCTAGCCGGGCTGGAGAGCTGACAGGAGCACATGTGTGTGCATGTGAGCCTCAGTCAGGCTGTCCTGAGCCCTTACCTAGTCCAGCCTTACTTCTCCTGCTATGCTTACACTGAAGTGAGCCAATCTCCATACTGACCTTTTCTCCTTTTTGCCCGTTCGTGCCTGGGGGGCCCCTGAGGCAGAGCTGGGGTCTCCCTCTTTTACCTCGTGGACCCTAGAGAGATGAAGGAGAGCTCAGTTAGCAGCGGCTGGGCATCCTCTAGAGATGCCTCACACCACAGGTTGGCACTTTCCACCGAAAGCCTAGCCTGGGCATGAGAAGGAGAAGATACTTGGAGCCCTCCAGGCCTCAGATGCTGCCCCAGCAGATCAGATGCTCTGCATCAGAGACGCTGCCTTTGCTGCCTTTCCTCTGGGAAACCACGAGGAGTTTCCCACTGTCCATCCCTGCAGAAAGGATGAATGCTGTGTGGGCAGAAGTCAGTTTTCTCTTTCCAGCTCTCCCTCTGTTCTGGCACTAATTTAAGAAATTGAGTCTCAGCAGGAGGAGAAGAACTTGCACGCTGGGGTGGCACCCTTCCACATAAGAAATGAGGATGGCCTCACTGCTGCAGTTCAGACCCAGGGACTTTCTCTTTTAATTTAGGGAAAAGATGAGTAGCAGTGTGGGTGCAGAAGGCAGCATCTCACAGTCTCTCTTTAATCACTGTCCAAGTAAAAGCGATTCATTATCTCATACACGGCTCTCTGCACATGCAGTGCTTTAACTGCTAATCTAAAAACTTCCAGCCTGTTTAAACATACTTGAGGGAATCTCGTACTTCCGCTTCCTTCCTCCCCTCTGTGGTTCTTTCGATATATTTTTCATTGTAAAGCCTGGGGAGTGAGGAAAAGAAGAATAATGTTGCTGCTACGGTTTGAAGCTGCATCTAGCCCATTTTCTTCATGCTCTGGTAAGGGGCGTTTATACCTACACCCCTTTTAGAAGAAGGCTCTGTGGCAGTATTTCCTATAATCACCCAGTCAGTGGTGAAACACTGGATGGGATTCAGCTTACATGTTTAGGTATCTCAAATGGAGTATCTGCTTGTGCAAGGCTACATGTGACCTGGTGCCTGTGTTCTCTTCATAAGCAATGCAGATCTAGTCAAGACAAACAACAGAGCCTAAAAACTGCATTCAAACACCCCCTCCCCACCCCAGACATCTAGGGCTTAATGCAGTTGTCTAAATATATATTCCTAGTGCATTGCACAGGGCTGGCAGATATGACCGACAGGAGACCTGTGCACTTCTGCAGCTGGCAAAAGTCTACATTTAGGGAGCTGAATCGCACACAAAATGTTTATGTTTTGGATGTTGGCTCTCTTTTCTGTAGACAAAAGCTCTTACTGACAGCCATAACGGTCTGAAAAAATGGGTGCACTGCAATGAACCCATAGTGAGTTCATCCACCATGGTTCACCCATCCTCTGGGCTGCCCGTATTCTGTGCGTATGTGGGTTGGGGAGCGCAACCACAATCAGTGTCACCAGTATACTCCCTTCAGAATTAGAGTGAAAGCGCTCAATCTTTTTGCTGTCTTGCAGATCTATAGTAGAAAGGCTCACGCCTGCTTTTCCAATGCATGAGGAGCAAAATCACCTGCTACATCAAGCACATGGCAGGGCACAGAGCACAGAGCTGGCAGGGATCCCTTAAGCCAGGTATTGCCACAGCCCCACTCGCTTCTATGACACTATGGGCCAGACGTGGACTGAATGGCTCGCAGACCAGGCTGACACACTGTGTGGTGTCTGGCCATGGGGGAGAAGCTGTGGAGCAGCTGCTGCCTGCATGTGTGTGCCAAAACCTGGTTGTACGTGGCAGGATCCAACTGGGGAGGACTTGAAGGACTGTAGGCAAGCAAGAGAGTCAGGATATGTGCAACAGGGGCTGTGCATAGAAAGATGTACAGGTCATGGCTCGCTCTTACAGCTCTTACTAACATGCAACTGCAATAGTTCCTGTGCAGGGCAAGTAGAGAGGGCTTAGCTGCATTAAAAGCACTGGAAGGTCATGAGCGCCTTTGGGCCCACTCCTCATGCACCCAGATACAAAGGCACATAGCCTGCAGAGGGAGGATGGACTCAGAGAGGGTGGGAAGAGTTTACAAAGGGATTAGCTGAGAACAGGATCCGACCCAATGTTTCCAGTTAGCCTGGATGGGATTCATGTCACCTAGCTTTAAACTTGTATGGACATGTCTCTATCAGAGCTAATTGTCCTCAGCTCTATGGAGAGATTGAGGTCCACAGGCTTTCAGGGTCCAGTTTCTCTGACAACATGTGGGCATCTACTAAAGGACAAGATGAATCATGCCCTACATATCATTTGCCCTGGAGAGGTCCTTCTGGTCTCTGAACACTGGCGTCTAGAGCTGCTTGTAATGCCCTAAGGTGTCCCACAGCCTCATGTTGCTGGTCCAGATCCATAGATCCTGTGTAGTATTTGTCAGCCCCCTGTGCAATTTTAGGCACCTGAGTAGGTGACCCAATGGCACTTCCTATGGACTAAAGAGGGAGCCTGAGCTGAGCGTCTCAGGGGCAGATGTAGACAGGGTACTCACATCAGATGAATCCCTTCTTTGCTATCTGTGATGTGGATGCTGCCACCTGAGCTAGCTGTCTGCGTTCCTCCTGAAAGCAGGGGATGCAAGTCAAGGGTGTAATTTGTCTCGTTCCAGAGCAGACACAAGAAATAGGTCAGATGAATTATCTTCTAAAAGAGCCTATTTTTCTTCCTCAACTATCAATTTGAGGACAATGGTGGCTTGGGGAGGAAATCTCTCTGTCACAGACATGTCCAGCCAGATGAGAGGGATCCCACCCTCAGTCTGCTAACATTAGCCACCAATGCTTTGTGGATTCCTCCAATGACACTTCAAAGGCACTGTAGGCTACTGAGCAATCTTGAACACCTATACCCTCCTCTGTGCTTTTGCATCACGGAGTAGATCGCTCAAGTCAAGCTCTTAAAGTAATATGATGTCTCTGAGGACACAATACAGACATTCAACTCGACCTATCAGTGCAATGTGGACCTTGCTGCACCACCTGCATTTTTCCTTCTCTAATTATTCGTTCCCTAAGACTTAAACACCAGTGCAGACATATTCTGTGTGGCAGGTCCCAAAAGCAGGGTACAGAATTTCCCAGTGCTTGACACTCTTCCTTTGCACAAGGAAAAATCAGGTTGAAAGTCAAGCCTACATAGACACCTTTATACCTCCCAAGTCCTCCATGGGTCACTAGGACAGGGATTCTGGCCCAGGAGGACTGATCTAATGAGGTCCTGACTCAGTCTGACTTCTGTGCAAAACTGGCTCTGAACGGTCCCAAGTACTGCTCTTGAAAGCAAGAGCAATTTTGACAGGCATTATCTTTACTGGTGCAGTCCTGATCTGTCAGATGCAGTTACATGTCAGCTGATTTTTCCATGCTTTTGCATGTGCCTCTCACTTGGCTAAGGATACTCAGCGGTCACGAGAGTTTGGATTATTTGGCCGAAATAAATCTGCAGGACGTAACAGATTGAAGAAGAAAATCCTGCCAAGTCCTCCATCTTTAGCTCTTTTCCCTCTTTCCAAAGCAACAACACAATCCCATCCAGCAGAAAATTGAAGTATTTTACAGACAATGTGTTTGTGTGTACGTTTGTATAGCCTGTACCTATATATTTTTAAATATATATGTATATATAACTACATATATAATACACACAGAGACACATAGGGATTAAATCCATATACACACATAAGGAAACATCATCTCTAGGGTAGAACACGGCACCCCAAATACATGCAAACTTAAATGCTGATAGGAGTTAAAACAGAACTGTCCCTGAGGTGGCTTATGGAAAGCACTTGGTCTTTCAGGTAGTCCCCCAACTACAGCTTTTCTTTTGTTCTCAGTTCTTTCGTGTTAATTTATGTATTCTCTTGCTCAAGCCTGAAACTCAGCCGGTCCCACTAGCACAATTGAGAAGGATATTTTTATTTCTAGTCCTCTTTTATTTGAAAAGTTCTTCATTACTTAATGGACGCCGTCTAAGGACTGGTGATTAGCATTAATCTCTAGTATCCCCCCATTGCATTGTGTTGGCATCAGCAAGACACTCTTTATTACCATAGGATCTGGGGGCAGCATGTTCCTTCTCATAAACAGTATTAGCTTGTCTCACTTACAAGTCTTTTTGTTACATTTCAAAAGGTGCCCAGCATGCCTTGCATGCAAAGACACTTATTAAATGTGGCCCACAAATGGGGTTTGAAAGCAACCGGCTCCTTCAGAAACCTTGGCATCCTGCTCCCCAGACAATTAGCCATGGGAGGGGTGCACTTCATGTCCTGCTAACTTGAAATTATCAGCTTTCCTGTCTTCATTGAAAAGTCAGATCTTACAGTACAGAGGGGCAAAGAAGAGAGGAAAGGAAAAAATCTCCAGTGATAAATACCCCAAGGGATGAAGGAAGTTGACCAAGATCACACAAAAAGATGGCAGTCTTTGCAACCATCTTCTCTCAATGCGGGAGACCTCAATGCCAGCGAGTAAGAGGGGGGAATGTATGCATACATGGTGACACATGCAGCGGACACATCTGGGGTGTTAGGTCATGTGAGGATGAGAGGAGCAACCACTTGGGGGTAGCTGGGGAAGGGACTTCTGGCAAGGCTCCCCTGGGAAGGGAAATCCACCATGTCTAGTGCAGCATCATACCTCCTCCTGCTCTTGAATGCTGCACAGAGAACACTTGAGGGTGAATCCCACTCAGGCTGCCCCACCAGCCCTGGTGTATGGGTTTCTAGAGAGTAGAGGTGCTGTGGTGGTGTTTCCCCATGTGTGAGGCCCAGACCTGGCTGACTGGGACATGATATGACTAAGATGGTAAGAAGAGACCTAGATCTCCTGGAAGCCAGCTTATTATAGACCAAACTTGCTCTAGCCTCAGCGCTTCCCTTCCCCCCTTCCAGGGTTATTAAACAGCTGAAGGGGCCCTGGCTGCGCATGAGAGTTTAGCATTCACACCCTACCTCCGCACACCAGATCACACCAGAGTTTAGTGCCTGCTGCAGAGCACAAGGTGTTCACCTGTGGCCCTGGTTGGCCTTGTGGCCCTTGAGGTCCATCTGGTCCAGCGACTCCCATCTTCCCAGGCAATCCCATTTGTCCTTTGAAGCCTCCCAAGCCAGGAACTCCCTTGGCGCCCTGAGAATCACCAAGAGAGAGTGGTTCAGAGCATTTTTCAAGTACAAGTGGTTTTACACGTGGGCCAGTCAAACGTGACAAGATACTTTCACGGGCTTTGGCAATAAGGGGAAATTGTGCACACTCCTCCTTTGCCTGCTGTTGTGGTATTGACAGAGCATTAGCCTCAGTGGGATGGTACAGATCACCTTTGCTTTGCTCTCTACCTTTAGTCCTCCAGAAAGCACCTCACTGCCTGGTGACATGGATGTCTCCCTCTCCAAGGAGATGCCCCCTAACTTCACATCTAATGCCCAGCTCCCCCTGCGTAGGTAAACAGAGTCCTTTAGGCTGTAGCCCTTGAAAAGCCAATGACTCCTGAGGAGGGCAGAGGCAGTTACCAAGAGCTGGCCCGCAAATTTCCCACTCATCAGCATGGCTGAGCTTTCTCCTAGAGCTGCTGTGAACAAAAAAGACGGCAAACAAACAGAGCAGAGGGAAAGACCTCTCAGGCTCAGCTGAAGGTGGATTTCTAATGTAGACTAAAGTAAGAGCCTGTCCATAGAAATCCAAAAGACTTGCATTAATGGGATCTTCAGGAGGGGTTGTCTTGCTCCCTCCAGCACTCCAGAGTAATGCTGTCCTGAGAAATGAGTCCACAGAGTGCCTGCTGGCCAGGTATTATATACAGGGACCCCTCTCTTATGATCGCTGTGAAGCATTCCCCTGGCCAACAGTTCATGCCTGCCTTTAGCCCAAATGACACTTCTGCTTGAACTTTTCCTCAGATGTGGACATTTAAACAACATGAGGACTGAGGAGGGAGAGATTCACCATAGGGAAGCAAGACCCTGTTTTCTCTCCTTCCTTGGAATCCCTCTAGAACCAGCCTAGTCCAGCACCATGTCTCCAGTGATACTCATGGGAAAAGTGAAAAAAAAACCTCACAGTCAGAAGACTGAGAATCCTCTGCCAAGGAATGTCTCCTGCTAAATCATAATAATCAACGTTTAAACACATAATAATAATGTCTTCTGCTCTTCCCAAATTTTTCTGAGCGAAAAAGGTTCAGTCAATCCAACATCCAGCCTTCAGCAGTGGCCAAAAGCAGATGTTTATGGGAGAGGAAAAGAACAGGGGAAGAAGGCAGAGATATTTTTCCTGGAAATAAACTCCCAGCCTCCAACCCTTTGCATCTCAGAGAGGTACTGAGCCAGGCATGTTGCTTCACAAGGGAAGGACTCTCAGTTTTTCACAAAGAGGAACATCAGGGGATGGGGCCCAGAACAGCTGCTATCAGTAAAAGCAACAAATTCTTTAAGACCTCAGAACAGCTATATGCAAAAATGGCCTGAGGGGCTGGAAAGTGCCAAAAGGGTCAGTGGCGGTTGTAGTGATTTTTGTGGGTTTTTTTTCCCATATAGTTTCTGTTTTAACAAAAAGCCTGTTTCTTTCCCCATTAAATGGAAACAATTTCAGACCTTTACATTTAGGGAAGAAAATGGAAAACAAAGAATGCAGAGAGGGAAGATGTGTGGGGAATGATCAAGCAGGGGACTCTGCAGGGAGTTGGTAGCAGGGACGTCCATGATAGCAGAGGACTGAAGCAGGTTAGCCTGGAGACCCTTTTCACTCCCACAGCTGATGTGCCCAGGTTTGAAGCAAAGCCCTTTGCTTTTCCATTGTGCAGTTGTTCATAGCTCTAAATTCCTTTCCTTTTCGGTGGAGATGTAAAAGAAGGAATGAGTCAAAATTAAAAACGAACCATCTTGCCATCAACAGAGGCTGCTCCTGAGGCTCTTGGTAGAGTTAGCAAAGGTGTTTCTGAACCATCCCTTGAAGCTGATGTGTGGAGCACATGAACAAGACTGTGTTCAAGACTGCTCCTGACTGTGGAGCTGAAACAGTTGTGATGGCATTACAGGAGGTAGCAGTATAATCCAGTTTCTTTCCCCACAGTATCCCAGGCACCCTTTACCCTGGACACCGTGGTGTTGAATACACTCTGCCAACTAATCCCGCTTCACGGGTTTGGAAGGCTTTACATCAATACAGCTCCCATATGCAGGCACCCTCCTGGGGTTTACTGCATCAGCAGAGGGTGAATTTAAGACCTCCCTCTTATGCCCTTTCTAACTGCAGTCCCAGGCTTAATGCTCCAGACAGTTGACATTTGCCCACTGGAAAGGGTACCTATGATGTAGAAAGTGTATAATTTTGTTAACTTGACCTGACGGATGTGAGATTTATTCTTTTATAAATGGCAGCTCGATGCAGTCTGGAGAGTACTAACCTTTTCTCCTTTCTCCCCAGGAATTCCCGAGGCACCATCATCACCTGATACTCCCTGTTTGCCCTGGAAGGAGTCAAGAGAAAAAATCATGGCTGATGCAGACTTGACCCAGTTGCAGTTTGCTGAACAGTCTATCTCCTCTTCAGATTATTAAGTGATGGAGACCCATCAGGGTTGCTCAGGCCTTGCACTGCTGGGAATCAAGGAGGCTGAAAGAAATCATGGCAGCCTGGAGGGAAATCTCACTAAAAAGCCCCATTATTTTACATATATGTAGTAGCACATGAGGAGCATGATGACTTTGGTGGATGAACTCTGCAGAGTCACACAGAGGAAAGTGGGGAGGTCACTACCCGCAGATGTCCACCCTGACCTAGGTTCCTTCCTCTGGTCCAGGCTATGGTCTCCACAGGAGGAGCATGTCCAGGGCGGGGGGGTCAGACCCTGCAGCTCCTCAGAGGCTCAGTAGTGCTCAGCTGGGACATCCCCACATGGCTTCGGCAAAGCAGATGCATGCTGAGAGGCTGGAGGCAGTCGTGGGTGCATGCCAAACCTGGCATAGCTAGGCAGTTTTATGGGCAGGTTGCTCCGATTTCATTGACATTTCAGATGAACAAACACATGAACGTAGGCAATATCAATTATACTAATATCCATATCAATATTAAATCAATGCCACTATTAACACTAACATTGATAGCAGCCTGTCTGACAGCAGCGTCCTCACACAGATCTATGCTGGGTTATGAGAACAGATTCAGAATAATCTGTTCTGTGTCTGTGCTTAAGATAAACCCTCTGAAAGAAATAAGCACATTGGAGAGGTGGATTCCCAGCATCTGAAAAGCTTTTATGCAGTCTCCCACTTGCAGGCAAATGCACAATTTAGATATTCACCTTTGGTCCATATGGTCCATCTGATCCTGGGATTCCTGGTCTTCCGGGACTGCCAATTTCTCCCTGTGGATGGAAGAGTAGTGTACAGGCTGTAAGCAGCGCAGGTGCTGGGGACAGGTCTTTATTTCATTCTCAGCATGACCTGTGCCTTGTGGAAACACCACTACACTATCACCTTTTGAAATAGTGCAGGGATGTAGCCAAACTACCAGAGCTGAGCACACACAACCCCTAAAATATGGGGAAAATTGGTTCCGAAATGGTAAGGTGAATAAGTGGAACTGTGTGGGAAACACGACGACACTCCTTATAACAGAAAGCCTAAGTATAGGCAAAGTCTTACATTAGATCAGAATAGTTCTATAAATTTTAGATTGCCCAGACTTCAAGCCCACCTACCTGAGGGCAGGTAGAAAGTTCACTGAGTGGTACTTAATTTACCCAACAGGCCAGGGCTGATGAAGGAAAATATTAATAACAACAACAATAAAAAACAATAACATATCCCACTAGTTCAGCTATCAAAGATCTCCCTTAGTTCCTATCAAGCATTTCAACACCTTTCATAAAAAGACCATTAAAGGCCATTATCCCTGTTTAGAGAAAGGACCAGTGGCGCTGAGCATCGAAGCACTTTGCCCAGCAGCAACTGGAAGCTGAGTCCAGGCAGTTGCTAGGCCACAGAGCAGGAGGTTCTATGGGCCACAGAGCAGTGGCTTATGAGGCAAGTCTGGTTTTTGTTACCCTAAATGAGCATGAGATTCCCTTCAAGCCTCAAAACCTCCATGTTACCGGCTCCCTGCTCAGCACAGTGACATCTTTCTGTGTCCCTCAGGACAAGGAAGCCTGCAGCCCTGCTCAGTGGAGACACCAGCTGAATGGGCCATGGAGAGCAACTTCGCCTGCCAGCGTTAGGGCAGCTTCTTCACGCTTGATGTTATCCTGGGGCCAAGTGGGAAATGCCACAGTGGACAGGGCATCCAAAGAGGAAGGGAAAGCCAGGCTTAGCTCACCTTGGTTCCTGCGGCTCCTGGAGCACCGGTGCGTCCTGGGAGCCCTTGTAAGCCCTGGTGATAAATCACAAGTGGGTGGCAATGTTAAATCAAGGCTAGGGCAGGAAGGAGGAACGCCACTGTGCCCATGGAGCAAGTCCTCACATAGCGGTACCTTGCTAGGCAAGCTCTTCCCTGGTCTGCAGCATCCTTTCCCATATGCCCCACTCATTCCAGCTCGGAGTTTGAGCTCTCCTACTGCTGTGTCCCACCCTCCATTTCACAGAATCTCATCCGTCCCCTACCTTAGATCCTTTCCGTCCGATGTCACCAGTTATCCCAGGGTCACCTTTCCCTCCCTACATAAAAAAGAAAAGCCAAACGTATCATGCACACACAGGTTAAGAATATAGCTCTAGTAATACCATCACCTCGCATCTATATTGTACTTACAACCACTAGAGGCTCCTAACAGATTTACAGATGGTGGTCACCTTGCCTCTAGAAATGCAGCCAGCTCTGGGGTGGGACAATGAACGACACTCACAGAAGTTGGGTGACTGCTACAGGGCTGCTAGCAAAGTGGGAGAAAACGCTGTGATGAGTTACCACAAAGCACGCAGCTTCTTGTTATGCTAACAAGGAGAGGTGTGCTGCTAGACCTCGTACTAACAAATAAAGAAGGTCTGGCTGCAGACGTGAAAGTTGGGGGCAGCCTTGGCTGCAGTTCAGAATCCTGTGAGGAGGAAAAAGGGCAATAACTAAGATCACAACCCTGGACTTCAGGAGAGCTAACTTTGGCCTCTTTAGGGACCTGCTTGGAGGAACCCCATGGGTTAGGACCCTAGAAGGAAGCGGAGTCCAGGAGAGCTGGTTAATATTCAAGTATCATTTCTTCCAGGCTCAAGATCAGTGCATCCCTCTGAGTAAGAAGTCCAGCAAAGTGGGCAGGAGACCTGCATGGATGAGCAAGGAACTCCTGGCAAAACTCCAACACAAGAAGGAAGTCTACAGAATGTGCCAAAGGGGACAGGCCACTTGGGAGGAATATAGGGACGTTGTCAGAGTCCGCAGGGATGCAACAAGGAAGGCTAAGGCCCATTTGGGATTAAATCTGGCGAGGGATGTCCAGGACAACAAGAAGGGGTTCTTCAAATACATCAATAGCAAAAGGAAGACTAGGGAAAATGTGGGCCCGCTGCTGAATGGGGCGGGTGCCCTGGTAACAAAGGATATAGAGAAGGCAGAGTTGCTGAATGCCTTCTTTGCTTCAGTCTTCACTGCTAAAGGCCAGTCCTCAGGAATTCCAGACCCTGGGGACAAGAGAGGAAGGCTGGAGAAAGGAAGACTCTCCCTTGGTTGAGGAGGATCGGGTTAGAGATCTTTTTGTCTGAACTTGACGTGGGCCCCGATGGGATGCACCTGCAAGTACTGAGGGAGCTGGCGGATGTTATCGCTAGGCCACTCTCCATCATCTTGGAAAGGCCATGGAGATCAGGAGAGGTGCCTGAGGGCTGGAAGAAAGCCAATGTCACGCCAGTCTTCAAAAAGGGCAAGAAGGAGGAGCCAGGAAACTACAGGCCTGTCAGCCTCACCTCCATCCC